GGAGTGAGCATGATTTTGAGCGCAACAAATGCCCAGCTTTCAATAAACGCTGTCACTCATGCAACAAATGGAACCACTTTGCCAAGTGTTGTAGATCAAAGCCTCGATACACAGGTGGGAGGATGGCGCCATCTAGTGAAAAAAAAAACTACACAGAGTAAATGCAGTGGAAGGTGAACTCCACCAAGATGATTTTCTTTGTGAAAGCGTGGACCTGTTTGCAAACAAAGGAGAAATATTCACCTCTCTCACAACAAATTGTAACAATCAGATTAAGCTGAAAATAGACACTGGGGCTAAATGCAATGTTATGTCTTTATCTACATTACAGCACGTTGACTCAAGTGCCCAGATTGATCAGTCACACAGAGTGAATCTGATAGCTTACGGCGGTCACACAATTCAGACACTGGGCACTGTGACCCTTGTTCTCTCAGGGGGGAAATTGCAATTCCACATAGTAGATAGAAATGTTAAGAACCTATTAGGCTTACCAGACAGCATGAGGTTAAATCTCATACAACTTAGCCCAGAAGTACATGCTATACAACAACAGGCTCCCGAGATGGACGAATATGAGGACTTGTTTCGTACTGACACTGTTGGCAAGCTCCCAGTCATATATCACATGTGCCTGGATGAGTCGGTGCATCCGACTGTATGTGCGCCCAGAAGGATCCCACTGGCCATGAAAGACAAAGTTGCACAAGAGCTGGAAAGAATGACGAAAAAGGGCATTATTGTGCCGGTGGAGGAGGCTACTCTTTGGGTGTCTGCCATGGCAGCTGCTGTCAAAAAGGATGGCTCGGTACGCATATGCATAGACCCTGTACATCTTAATACAGCTCTCCTGAGGCCATATCACCCATTAAAGACTGTAGAGCAAGTAATCGCTGATATGCCACAGGCAGTAGCGGAGTGGCAATTGGGAGAGTCGGGAGTTTTCCCGGTGGGCCGGTAGTGTTTCGAGGCCGCGAGGGCCGGTCTGATAAAATGTATTTATTGGATGTTCGCCATGTGCACTTGGGGCCCAAGCTAAGGGAAGAAAACATTTTTTTTTTTTTTTACATTTTCTATAACGGAACATATATTTGCACTAAGTGCCTGTCTTTACAGCAAAAAGACGCTTGTCTTGAAACAGCTTCAGTGGCGTAGGTCGTAGGGCGTGATGTGCTTGAATGCAGCTTTTGATGCACTGAACGCAAGTTCGAATCCACCTTTTACCGAACTCTCTCTTCTCCCTTTTCCCAACACATATGTAAAGATGTAAAATATAAAACCTAACATTAAGATCTCTAGCGTTATATTTTGCCAACGAACTAAAATTGAAACCATGATATGGCGTTGCGCCATTATAATAACTGACATTAGAATAGCATCCAGTTTGTGCTGCGTGATTACTTTGCTCACGCGATCATCATGGTGTTTTCTCCTAAATAAAAGCTCAAGGGTTTATTTCTTGCAAGTGAAGAAATTAGGACAAAAGTATTTTAATTTTCCTATATTATAGTGTAATGTAGGTTAAAATATACTTTTGAAATACTCATTTTCATTTACATAGTACATTTATAGGCTAAATGGATTTTACAGTAAGTCATAGGAATAATTATAAATCATTATTACATTATTATAATAAATGTTTGGCATCCTAAAACACCATTGATAATGTAATGTGTAGACTGAGACTCTCATAACTAAAAAGATGTTTGAGCCCTCTTTATTGTACTGGTACAAATTAATACTTTTTCTTTGTTCAACAAGCAGTTCATGGGTTGAAGCTCTTAATTGTGATCTCTCAGAGAGCACGAGATGATGTATTTAACCTTAAAATGTCCAAAATTTTCTTACGGGGGAGCATGCCCCTGAACCCCCCTAGAAGCACAGAGTCCACCCAACATAGTTTTAGAAATTACTATGGAACAGAACAACCATTTATGAACTTTACTCCAGCATAGTACAACAAAATTCCTTTTAAATCAGTAAAACTGTAATGCTATCGGCTATTAAAATCGTGCCGGCAACGAGGGCCGGTGGTCTACGAAATTTCCCGGTTGATTTTTTGGTCCCACTCCGCCCCTGGCCACAGGCAAAGATTTTCAGCATTCTGGATGCAAGGTATGGATTTTGGCAGATCCCTTTGGATGAGGAATCATAGAAACTCACAACTTTCATGACCCCATTTAGGAGGTACAGATTTCTACGAATGCCATATGGGATCTCGACTGGAAGTGAAGTTTTTCTGAGATGCATGGAACAGCTCTTTGCAGGCCAGCCATGTGAAATCTTGATCTGGGGCTCTTCTGTTGAAGAACATGACAAATGTCTCAAATGTGTGTCAGAGCCATTAATATGCAGCTGAACCTGACAAAATGTCGTTTTAGGGTCTCAGAGGTGCCATATGTATGCCACCTTCTTACAGATAAAGGTGTCAAACCTGACCCAGAGAAAACCAAGGCTATTCGCCAGATGCCCACTCCAGAAGACAAACATGGTTTGCAGAGGTTTCTTGGCATGACAAATTATCTCTCAAAATTCATCCATCGGTACAGCGAGATAAGGGCTCCCCTTCGTCAGCTCCTGTGCCAAGATGCACAATGGTGTTGGACTGAACAACATGATGCTGCTGCAGACACACTTAAAGAACAACTGACAAGCCCACCAGTCCTACTGTATTGTGTAAAATTCCATGATTATATCTATGGCCGGCCAGTGACTGTGGAGACGGATCATCAACCCCTCATAACCATTCTGAGAAAGCCACTTCACACAGCGTTAGTGCGCATCCAGCGAATGATGCTCAAACTTCAGCGTTATCATCTGAATGTGATTTATAAACGAGGCCGTGAAATGTATGTTGCGGATGCACTATCATGCGCACACCTCCACACCACTGATAGCCCTGAAACCATCGAGGACCATGATGTGCTAGCTCTAGAAGGGGTGCTGTCATCTAGAAGGATTGAGGAACTCAGGCTAAACACACAGACTGATGCTGTCTGCAAGCGACTCGCAGACACGATTTTCACTGGCTGGCCTGACTCGTACAAGGACGTTCCACATGACATCCGTCCGTTCTATGCCATGAGGGATGAATTGACTGTGGATGATGGTTTGATTCTTCGTGGTCAGAGGTATGTAATCCCCCACTCGCTCCAGAAACACTACCTCACACAGCTCCACCAAGGTCATCCTGGCATTCAGTCCACCAAGCGACGGGCATGCGAAACCATGTTCTGGCCCACAATATACAGTGATATTGAAAGGGAGGTCTCCAGATGTGCCCCATGCAATGCTCTAAAGCAGCATCAGATGAGAGAACCTCTGCAACTTCACCAGATACCAGACAGTCCATGGTCCATCACGGCAGCTGACATATTCGAGTGGTCAGGGAAGACTTACCTGGTCTTAGTGGATTCGTACTCTGGTTGGTGGGAGTATGAGGTCCTTCTGAACCTTTCCAGTAATGCTGTGATCAGGTTATTGAAACGGCAATTCGCTGTACATGGGATCCCTTACCGGTTGATGACTGACAATGCAACATCATTTTCAAGCAGGGATTTCAAGAGCTTTGCTCACCAGTGGGACTTTCAACATGTCACGAGCAGTCCCAATTACCCTAGGTCAAATGGTCTGGCGGGACGTGCTGTCAGGTCTGCAAAGCATCTTCTAGAAAAGTGTGTGCGTGATGGTTCTGACATCCATGCAGCTTTGCTCAACTTGCGCAACACACCCAGAGACGGCATGCCTTCTCCGGCTCAACGTCTACTGTCCCGACGCACCAGGTCCTTGATCCCCATGGTACCATCCCAGCTCACACCGAAAGTTCAGACCAATGTTCAGGCTGCTTTGTTTGCACTCAGAAAAAAAGGGAAGATCAGCCACGATAAATCTGCCAGATGTCTTTCACCACTGGAGCCCGGGCAGACGATACGCATGGAAACAACGCGTGGGTTTGACAAGCTGGCCACAGTTTCAGGAAATGCTATTCAACCTAACAGTTATATGGTCCAGTCTCATGGGAAGACTTTTGTAAGAAACAGCCGTCACCTTCTACGGGTGACTGAATCATACTGTCCGGATACCACCATCACGTCCATGCCCGTGATCTCTCCAGAACCCCAAGCAAGGGCATGTACTGTACGCATCTATTCTTAGATGTACGGGAGCAGTAAATGAGAGCGCGAGGTTAGGGGGCGGAGTTTAGTTAGAATGTTCAGAGACTTCATGGAAGATGACATTAAAGTGAGTTCGTCATAAAGTTACCAACGACTCCTCTGTTTTGTACGCATCTACAGTATAATTTAAAGTGTCTCAGTGCGCCTGGTAAAATGGTCTTATTCTCCCAACCATAATGAAAAGCTAAAAGAAGTTACAATATATGAGAAGTAATGTGTCCCTCTAAGGTGTCCCCTCCCCCAGATCCTCCATTCTGATCTCAGAGTTGTGAGCCCCTCACTAGGGGACCAAAATCGGAAATTGATGATCCCACAGGTGCTGTACAAATTAGATGTGTTTACTGCTTTTACACTTTTCATCTACATGTTTTGAAAATTGCATACCTGTCTTCAACTACTCCTGAATCATGTTTAGATGGCCAAATGACTCAATAGCTTATTTAATTTGCTTCTATGGCAAATACAAGTCCAGGAGATTGCATTGTTCCACCATGTTTTCAATTTGAGAGTTTCACATCCACTGGAAGTTGCTTTGCATGCAGTCTGCCTTACCTAGACAATCACCTAGTGAACTCAATAGTAACAGCCTCAAAGACTATCCAGACAGAGGGCACGCCACACACAACTCTGAAAGACTAATTTTAATGTGTTCTTTTTTTAGTATCCAAATTCTTACGGTTTAATAATGTGACCATTGTAATCACGGTCAATTTTTAAATTGGGTAGTCACTCTCAACATCACTAATTGCAATCAATCAGAGGTCCTTGTAAAGATAATTGATGGGTTGGAGAGCCATGTTTATTGTAGTGTATATTCTCTAAAAAATGAAGCATGCTAACATTAACACTTCCTGTTGTTGTAGATTATCTCAGTGTTTGGTGACAGAGGAAGGTTGTGCTGCTCTGGCATCAGCTCTGAATTCAAACCCTTCACACCTGAGAGAGCTGGATCTGAGCTACAATCACCCAGGAGAATCAGGAGTGAAGCTGCTCTCTGATATAATGAAGCATTCAGACTACACACTGGACAAACTCAAGTAAGTGGATCAGTAAGAATCATCCTGTCTGGTGTGCATGTGAGACTGAGAGTTTTGAATAGTTTTTGAACACTGAATGGGCTCCCAGTGTGTTAAAACGTGACACCAAGCAGTCCTGACAAAACATTCAGATGAGTTGTTAGTGAGAATGTGTTGAGAAAATTATGTATAGACTGATACACTCTAAAAAGACAAGTGTTTAAAAAAACAACACACAGCATGTGTTAATGGTATTTTGACACATGTTGTCTAGATTTTTAACACACAATGTGGGTTAAAATGTAACTGTAGTTACATTTTAACACACAATGTGGGTTAAAATGTAACTGTAGTTACATTTTAACACACATTGTGCAAAAACCCAATGTGTAAAAACTCCAGTGTTAAATGATCTCTCCTGGAAGTTTATATGACTCCACACTCAAGAGTGTTAAATTAACACTGTAGCAGTGTTAAAGTTAATGAGATAATAAGTGATTAATTGAGTGATGATTGACCAACACTGAAGACACCTGATGTCAACAAGTAGAATCACTAAAGTAGGGCTGGGTGATATATCGAACCACGTTGTTATGCGCATCTCGTCAGTAAAGTCGGTTCCTTGATTAGTAGTAAATCGCCTTCACCTGCTTTCAGATGGAGCGGCATTTACTACAAAGAGCCGTAGTTCACTGACAACCTGAACCATATCGCATTAATATTGCGGACGTATCGCCAGTGATAATTTAATGCGATATGGCTCAGCTTGTCGGTTAACTACGACTCTTTGTATAGCACGGGGGTGGAAGGAAGTTTGTGTTTATGAAAATAATTATAGGTAATATATTTTATATGGTATCTCATAACAAGCTCTAAAATAAATAAAACAATACATTACAATAAATAAATAAAATCTTCATAAAAACTTAGATTAACGGGTGTTTTTTTGGCAGCCAATCACATCATGCCTCTTTTTTCAAATGCTGATTTCACTTATTATTAATAACCAATTTATTATAACAATTTATTTCTGTCAGACATCTACAGAAGCTCTTATTGAGAATTACCAGGTTTTGTGTTGACGAATCATTGAATGTTTCATTTGAAGTCACCAGAATCATGATTAGTGTCAGCTTTATTTAGGCTCTTGTGCCTTGATTCTTTAAAGGAGCATTTCACCCATTTCAACGTTCATCTTTATTGCAATCGGATCATATATGTATTCGAATATGTAAAACATAGCTGCCAACTCTCACGCATTGGCCGTGAGACACCCGCATTTGATTGGTTTCACACGCTCACACGCCACACCCCCGATTTCTCACGCTGAAGTGTCAACCCTCCCGTTTTTCCGGGTTTCTCACGTATTTTAGCTCTTTTACTGTCTTCCCATGTTAGTATTTCCCATAAAATATCTCGTATTTTTACACTCTGATTGTGTGAGACGTACAAGCTCAGACAGATTCGGCTTGAAGTCGATCGTCCTCGGATGCGGTTCCGTGCGCGCTGTAACAAAATAGCTTTGCACACAGCTCGAAGTGAGGTCTTGCCGGTCTTGCGCACCCAACGCGTCATTTTTAACGCGCTTGTGCAGACGCGTCGAGTATAAACAAGGCTTTACTCCATGTCAGCGCGCGCAGAGACCTCAAGGTGCAGAGACCTCTCCCAATCATCTCCAGCAGAAGCAGCCTCCCCGTTTCCCTCGTAAGCTGATCTTAGTATTTAAACATTCTCTATGGTATTTTTTTTTTAATGACACAGTGCTCTTTCTCACACATATGTGGGCTAGTTCTAAACTCTTTAGACTTTTTGATTAGTGAATTGTGAGAAAAAATGGTTCCTGGAAAAGAGTTTATCTATTGATCTATCTGTTGGGCAACTCGTGATCCACTAGTTATACCGCAAATTATTTACAAATCTCCCGTGATACATAGCGAACGATTCCACCCCCCCCCCCCCCCCCCCCCCCGTCGACAGATCTCACGCCAAGCAAAACTCAAAAGTTGGCAGGTATGTGTAAAATAATTTTTTAATTTTGACCGAGAAAAGACAGAAAATAACCGAAGAGTGCATTTGTATGAAAGACTACAACACCCACAATTAATAATAATAATAACAATTCATTACATTTATATAGCGCTTTTCTCGGCACTCAAAGCGCTTTACATAGAGGGGGGAATCTCTTCAACCACCACCAGTGTGCCGCATCCACCTGGATGATGCGACGGCAGCCATAGTGCGCCAGAGCGCTCACCACACACCAGCTTACTGGTGGAGAGGAGACAGTGATGAAGCCAATTGGTATATATGGGGATGATTAGGAGGCCATGATGGACGGAGGCCACTGGGAAAATTTGGCCAGGATGCCGGGGTTACACCCCTACTCTTTCGAAAGACATCCTGTGATTTTTAATGACCACAGAGTCAGGACCTCGGTTTAACGTCTCATCCGAAGGACGGTGGTCTTTGACAGTATAGTATCCCCATTACTACACTGGGGCATTAGCACTCAAACAGACCACAGGGTGAGCACCCCCTGCTGGCCTCACTAACACCTCTTCCAGCAGCAACCTGGCTTTTTCAGAAGGTCTCCCATCCATGTACTAACCAGGCTCAGCCCTGCTTAGCTTCAGTGGGCAACCAGTCTTGGGCTACAGGGTGATATGGCTGCTGGCAAATAATAATGCATCAATGCATCACATTGCATAGCTCCGCAATAACAATGCATCACATTGCATAGCTCCGCAATAACAATGCATCACATTGCATAGCTCCGCAAGCCACACCCACTAATACGGAACTGCGCGCACATCAGAAAAATTTCTAGTTAGTTGGCTGTGGCAACCAGGATGATCGAGGGCGAGGGACGTGGGAGCGGTGCAAGAGGACGACGCGAGGCCGGTGGCGTGAGTGAAAATGAAAGACAAGAGACGCACCGACCGGTCTCGTATCTCTCACAGAGGAGCGGGAGAATAAACGGCAGATCGAGAGAGAAACAGCAGTTCGCCTCAGCTCGACCCAGTCCGGGCTCCTTGACCATGAAAAGCAGCCGCCTCCTGTGTTGCGGTGATCTGCTGGGAGGTGTGTCTGCGTGTGAGTGCAGTAGCCTTGTTTCTACATGCACGTGACAGCGAGTGTGCAGCTCTGCTGCGCGCCTCAGCAGGTGCGCGAAATTAGACTAATTAGCAGAGACGCGAGAAAGCTTCAGACAATGAAAGCAAGGATGTGTTTGCTCAGCTTTGCAATGCAGCTAAGTGTAGTGGAAGAAAGAATAATTCGCTAAAGAATCACGGATAAAACTCATGGAAAAATGAAAAGATCAAAGGGGCTACCGGTAAGCTCACATCTTTACTCTTTACTGGTTTCTGAGGACTGCAAACAAGATCTCTAACTATGTAGTTGTCTGGATGGGTACACTGTGTGGTCTGATAAATGCATTGTTAGTTGCACTATTAATAGTTTGAGGCTAAATATTTTGTACAAAGCTGTTTAACCATTCCTGTACAATGCAAACCTTGTGCTAAACTAGTTTGAAATGTTTTACATGTAGGTTTGTAATTATGCAATGTCATATATAACTTCTGGATGGAACGATCTGTGGTAAAGGTTCATTTAAAAAGAAATGGGCCCCAGTAGAGCTGGCTTTCTGGAAATGTAATGGCTGATTTACGCTGTTTACCTGGGGTGATAAACTTGAAGAAATGGTTAATTGATGTGTTAATCCAGCTTATCCTTTGCTTGTTGTATTTTGATGTGCTTTATTGTATTTGATGGGAAATATTGAACTTTATTTAATTTGTTATTTTTTGTATGTTTGGTCAAATAAATTGAAGAACGAGTGAAATCCTGAGTCTGGCTGATTCCTTCTCTTGTCAAGTTTGGGAAGCCATGATGTTGTAAATACACTTAACATCCTGCTTCTCCATCAGCCTCAGCTGCTCTTCACTATACTGTGTCTCGTAAAGATAGCCACTAACATCGGATTCGAGCAGCAAACTTTCAAAATCCTCTTCTTCCATATCATGTTTAGTTTCTTCTGTCATTATCATATTTCCTATCTCCACAGCGCTTGTTAGCTTAGCTTCCAAAAACAAGATGGCGGATATTGATTTCAGTTTCTGCAAGTGAAGTCCCACCCACTGATCTGGCCTGTGGGGTGAGTGGGTCCCAAACCCTTGAATAATAATGAGCTAATGTTTGTAGTCTCTACAGATTAAAATGAAATGTGACTTCCTGCTTACTATGACGCAAAATGACAATTTTTACGTCACGATAAGCAGGAAGTAAAACACTTAAATCCTTATTTCTCCCATATCAGGGGAAAAGGGAATAAACCATGACCATTCAAAAATATGACTGGGTTTCTAAAGATACAAAGCTTAATGCAAATGGGTGAAGTGTCCCTTTAACATTAGTTTTCTCTGTTTGCTGCATCTGTGCATTTATTTTGCACATCTGAAACAGTTGAACTTACCATGAGAAAAAGATCATCAGATGGTAATATTATCATCATGTAGTTTTATTAAACTTAGCACGATGAGTTTAATATCTAAAAGATGACTTATAAAAGGATCAGCAAGGTTAGCATATTGCGATTAGCTTCTAGTTTGATTATACATACTCAGTGTGTAGCCTACAGGATCTTACGGTCTGTGGTACCTTATCCTATAATTCTTTAAAAAATATATATTTTTATCAGCCTAAAATCAAGACCCACCTGAATCATGCAGATCAGTAATAAAAATAATTATCAGGGATGGGGTGTTTAAGTTTTGGAAAAGTCGTGGACATTTGTTTCAAAATATGTATATAATAGAATATGTTCAAGTTATAATATTGGTTAAACAAACTACACACCATTCATTCGATCCATCCGACTGCTGCATTTCCATCAAATTTCGTTATGCAGGATTGAGGATTATAACCAATCGCACATGTTTCCGTTGAGTGTGATGGCCAATCAGTGGCGTTCAGATTAGTCATCGCTGAAAAGAAGAGTTTGGTTCAGTGTGCGCTTTCTC